CAGCAGGAGGGGTGAATGGCAAGGGTGGCTGAGGAGGAGAGGACACCTAGCTGTGTAACTGCTAGATGCCCTGTTTCTCTCTTGGATGACCTCAAGATTGGGAGGGATTGCCAGTGAGGGGAGGGGGGGTCTTGTTCTGCAGCTGCTCTTTTAGACAAGAATGCAGAATCATCTCCTTCCCTTGTGCAAACGTTTGGGTGTCATCTCCTTCTGTGGGGCTGACCTGTGCTGCACAGGGCTGCTGGAAAAGTACCTCTTGGTAAACAGGAGGGGGGATGTGGGGATGGGTGGGCGTTGGTGCTGAATATAGCCAAGGATTGGAGTGCTGTGGTGGGACAAGCAGCTGCTCTAGTAGCAGAAATAACTGTCCTGGTATTTTGATATTTTATTTTTTTTTGTCTTGGTGTGAGCTGTCAGCTGTTAGCTGGTCACTGGGGTAGAGGGCAGAGTATGTTCCTCTAGATAAACCGATCTTAGCACCATACTTGTCTTGGACCTATGCCAGAGCTGGCTGCTTGTGACCCCTGAGCTGTCTGTTCTTAGGACTTGTCCTTGCCAAGGAGCTGCTGTATCATCAGGACTGCTTTGAAAAGGTTGTGAGGTGGGGCACTGCTGCAGGAGCAGCCCTTCTTTCCTCGAAGTGACTGGCCTGGCTGACCCACAGCCTTCTGACCCAAATGGCAGTGTCCTGTAGCAGGATCTGGCTTGTGTTTGATGCCTTCCTCCCTTCCTCTTGGATATGGTTGGATATGGTGTTTTGCTCAGTTTTGCAGAAGCTGAAGAGAGGCAGAATGAGGCTGGCAGTTCTGCTCAACAGGCTCCAGCTTAAATACCCTCACAGAAAAGCTCTAGTGTAGTCCATCATTCAGCAGTGGGCTCTTCAGGGACTGCTACTCTTGCTTCCCCCATGCCTGTCAGTCCCAAGGTGTGGGTCTGCTGCTCCTCCGTCAAGCTGGGTCAGTGCTGAACCCAGCAGAAGACTTTAAGTACATGGTGAGTGCATGTATCTAGTAGAGACTCCTTTCAGTAATGGCTTGGACCTAGCTCTGTATGTTGTTTGGCAGCTTTGCAGGAAGAGGCTCTCCTCTAGCTTCTTTGGGCCTTTAACTTAAAGTGCCCTGGAACTGCATCTCATTTCCTCTGAGCTGCATTGGCTTTGTTTTGGCCAGGGTCCTGCAGGACTTTAAACCAGGGCAGGCTGTAATGCTCTGCAGGTCTCTCCCACCTCTGCTTCTGGATCCCTTTTCGCACTGTGAAGATGTTCCTTTGCTCTCAAAGCAACAACCAAGCATGTAGTCAAAGCTGGGAAGGTAAAAGGCAGGACCAGGACACAAGTAACACATGTAGTTGGATGACCCCTGGAGCCTGCTGTTCTCAGCTGCCAGACATAGTGCAGCAGCCTGTCTGGAGGCACATCCAGGGGCTGATGTGAACAACAACTCAGGCTGATGTAAAACTTGTGTGGCATCTGTGCTGTCTGCTAAGGATGTCCCATGGCAGGTGTGGTCTGGGAGTTTCTGAGGCGATCTCTCACTTCTTCAGGAGTTTTGCAGCAGGGAGCAGATAGTTGCTGCCAGTGTGGTGGTGTGTTCCCTGTTTGCTAATGCCTGCTGTAGATTTACGTGAGTAGGGCTTGCTGCCCTCCTGACTTGCTTCTTTCTCTCCTTGCTTTTCAAGATTTGTCACCACATCCTGGTACTGTGTCTGCGGGAGCTGTTTGAGTTCAGATACATGCAGACTGACCCAAACTGGTCAAACTTCTTCTACGACCCACAGTTGCACAAGGTAAGCCCAAGCAGCTACTGTTCAGCCTGTACAAGTGCTGATTTTTGCCAACTTTTGATTATTCCCCACTCCCAGAGTTTAATGAGTCCTTACTGAGATTCTCTGATTCCTGTCCTTGAGCAGGTAGGACAGTGCAACCTGTCCTTTTGCCACTTGTCCTCACTTGATCTGGGTGGGAGAGCAGGGTTCCTGTAACCCTGGATGGCTGCTTGTCTTTGGCCTTAGATCCAGTCACAGCTACTTCTTTAGCCTCAGAGTCTGTTTTGAAGCTGATCAGTGGGAAGTTGCAGCTGGCAGTGCTCTACTAGGGCACACCTGAGCCAAGAACTCTTTAGTTGAATGCTTTTGTCTTGTGCTGTGCTGAAGATAAGGCTGCCTGGGGAAGCAATTACAGATGTCCTGCTAGTTGGTTTGGCTGCTTGCTTGTGCCCTGCATGTCAGATGGAATTGCTTGTTCATCCCTGAGGTCTGCGTTGGAAAGTGCTGGGAAAAAGTTCTGTGCTGCTTTGTCCCCATGGAGAAAGCCTGGACGGAGTTATCAGCTGAGCAGTTGTGACAATGTGAGCATAGGCTATACCTCCTCTGCCGTGTACTAGTGCAAACGTCTGTGCTGCTGTCAGGAAATAAAGGAGTTAGAGCGAATTTGAGCTGTAGTGGAAAGGCTCTCCAGGCAGCTGAGCTTCCGGAAGACATCAGGAGTCGTCTTATGGTCAGGCTCTACTTTAGTGGTTGACACTGTAATACAGATGGGTTTGTCCATTTCCAGGTGGCTCTGCTGGACTTTGGAGCAACACGAGGGTTTGATGAGAAGTTCACGGATGTCTACATAGAGGTGAGGGCTTGTGCTGTGTCTTGGAGTGCTGCACTGGGGGTCTTAAAAGTATTTGCAAAATTATGCTTCTCTCTTAGCTGTATCACTTTGCACTTGAATCTGTTTTGGGTGTGAAGGGAAGCAGGGCTGGAAGCAAAAAAGATATTTATGTTCCTGTTTCATCCCTTACCATAGCCTTCTGTATGTCTGCTGCAAGCCTCTGGCTATCCCAGTTTGGATGTTTAAATTGCGTGACAAATGTGGAAAACTGTAGTGTTGCTTACTGGGAGACTCGGGCAGCAGAACGTATCAGAGCACTCAGAATTCAGTGATTTCTGTGAGGGTATGCAGGGACTGCTTGTCCTGTTCACTGTCTCTTCCTGGGATTTCTAGCTTGCCTGCAGACTCAAATTTATGTGAAGTCGCATGTGGCTTCTTTCATCATCACTGTGTTCTGCACTTGATAAATTGAGCTGCAGGGGCCAGCAGACATCACCTAAAGCTTCTCTACTGTTTTGTTGAGGGAGGGGCTGATTGATTTGTGAAGCTTTTTTGACATCCCTTACATTCTCTGGGCTATGTGTAGCCCTACTGGGAAGAGCTTCGGAGAGCCAGCAGCTGTATGTTTTTGCTGATAGCTCTTACACTGGCCAACACGCAGACCCCTGAAAATGAGGGCAGAGGCAAGGAAGCGAGTGGGCAGCATGTGTACCTGTAGTCTATGTAGTAGTCCTGTACTCAGAACATTCCTCAGTCATCTCCCAGCTCTCCTGAAAGTGTTCCTTCTGTTCAGGTAATCAAGGCAGCTGCTGACATGGACAGAGAGAGAGTACTGAAGAAGTCCATTGAGATGAAATTCCTCACTGGCTATGAAGTCAAGGTATGGAGCAGAAGGGTCTGCTTTTAGTGGTGGCTAGTGGTAAGTTTGCTGCGGGTCTGTGGACTTCCCCAGATTTCTTGAGGTGGTAAAGCCAATGTCAGTTTGCAAGCCCCGTTGATAAGGATGAGGAAGGAGGGCAATAAAGGTTTTGGCTTTTGTTTTCTCCATTTTGGGAGTGGGAGCAGTACCGATGATACAGCTAGCTCCAAAACCACTGTCCTTCCTTCTCTCTCCCAGCAAGAGCCTGCAGGTGGTGATGACAACTGCAATTTCATGACTGGGCAGGTCTTCTGGAACGTTTAGTTGCTCAAAACTGTATTAACCAAATGTTCATCAGTCTGTTGGGGGCTGGAGGTTACCTTTGTTGTGGGTGTAGCTAGGTATTTCTCCTGAGCCACTGCTGTTAGCGCTAGCGTTTCTCCTTTTCCTCCCTGGTGGTTAAAATGGCTAGTGATAGTGTTATTGATGCCTCTTTCCTTTTGGGCAGGAAATGGAAGACGCCCACTTAAATGCTGTCCTCATCCTGGGAGAGGCTTTTGCATCTGAGGAACCTTTTGATTTCGGCAACCAAAGCACCACTGAAAAGATCCATGGTTTAATCCCGGTCATGCTGAAGCATCGGCTTGTCCCTCCGCCAGAGGAGACCTACTCTCTTCATCGCAAGATGGGGGGTTCTTTTCTTATCTGCACCAAACTAAAGGCCAAAATTCCCTGCAAAAACATGTTTCAAGAGGCATATAGCAAATATTGGAGCAGTAGGGGCAAGAAGCCAGAGGAGTAGTAAGAACGAACTAACACGTCTTGTTCTGAGGGCACAGTTCATCTGGGCCTTGCAGAGAGTGTTCTAGCCTCCCATGCGTTGCTCCCCAGCTCTCCATCCTCTTGAGACGCAGCAGCCTGTGCCCTGGAAGCCACGTGTGCGTTTCACAAGGACAAAGCTGTTCTTTCATGCCGTGTCTGTCCTACACTGACTGCCAGTACAGTCCGCAGCTTGCAGGAAACTATCTTCTCGAGTGCTTCTGTACTGTTTCAAGGCACCAGCTGACTACCTTGAATGCATTTTTAACATTGTGATGGTGGCTGCGTATTCATTGGGTTTTATAACGAGTAGGGGAAGGAGGACAAGAGCAGAATTTAATATTGAAACCTGTTTGTAATTCTCCAAAAATCGTTTTTTTTTTAAAAAAAAACCCTTCCCTCTTTCATGCCAAGATGGAATTCAAGTAGTTTTCATACTGTGAATTACAGAAGGAAATACTAAGGTGTACCCTACCACAGACACATTCAGCACCTCCCCCTCCGTTTTGTAAGTCAAGTGGTGGCAGTTTGAGAACCCTCCTGGATTTTACTGACATTAATTTAATGCAAGGGGGGCGTGTGTACATAGGATGAAGTTTTATGCTTTCTGCCTCTTTTTGGCTTGCGAGCAAAACATAGGAAATTTTTTAAAAATCTGAGAATTGAGTGGCAGTCTCTTTTAAGCACACATGTACACTCACACGACCCATCTCAGTTCTGGGAGTCAAATCTGTAATGAAGAGAGTTATATCTGAGCACAAATAGTGGGATTCTTCACTGTCTGGTAGGTATCAGCTTTCCTGAGGGTGAGTTAGATAAGCTACAACTCTGACACCAACTGCTTGCTGGACTCCTAACCAAGAACCTAGTCTGTCTGTCTGTCTCTCTGTTTTCCTGTAACGCAGAACTTAAGGCAAGGCAGACAAACACGTAATGTCTCTCATGAGCATTTCAAGCTTTTGCTGAAATGTCACACGTTTAAAACCAGACGCACAGTTTTAAACTATTGGAGTCAAGCTAGGAAACTTACTTTCTTAGATTTTTGTACAAAGCCTGTTACCTGTACGACTTCCCGATTTCAATAAAAAAGTGCTTATGCGGTGGGCCTTCTGCCTGCAGTTTTTTCATCTGGTGGTGTTGTAATGAATAGTTGAGTGAACCATGTCCTGTTCTGTGGGATAAACAGGAGTTGAGCAGAAGGAGAAGCTTCCAAGTCTCCTCTTCTTGCAGTTGTTTGCGCAAAGAATTGCCCATACAAAACCTGCTATTTATGGCCTGTTTATTCCTTCATCTTTCCAGTGCAGCTGAGTCACTATTGATAACGGTGATGGTGACAAGTTTACCAGGAGCCAGAGAGACATCAGCCTGAAATCTGTCTGGCCATGAAAATCCCTGGTAATTGACTTGTTTTCTTGTCTTCCTTTAATCACTCAGTTATCAGTCTTCTGGACACAGGCCTTTTTGCCTCGTCTCCACTTGTGAAGAAAGAGTGGCTGTTGGAGTTGATGCTTACCTGGTGCTAGTAAGGCAGATGTCCTTATCTGGCAAGTGCCAGATATTTAGCAGCAGGCTGAGCTGGTCCTCCTTGGTTAACACAGCCTAGGAATGCAGAGGCTGTATGATCTTTAACTTCAGTATGTAAGAAATACTGACTGCTGACACTTCAGAGGTAAAGAACAGGTAAGTGAGTGAATAAATGGTCTCTCTCGGGAGGGACCTTTGAGAAATAGGAAAACAGGTTATTGTATTACCTTTATTCCAAGAACATAAAACATATAAGCTGTTTCATTTAAGACATGGTTGAGAAAGATTTGGTACTGTTTAATTCAACTAGAAGTACTTGTCAGCAGGTTATTCCTAACCCTGTGAGAAGAGTGAACTCTGCTGTTGAAGGAAGTAATAGTTTTACATGAAGCTGTTTCACTTTGTACACTGATAGAGCAACTTTCCTTGTTGTTTTGGGTTCTGATAGACACTGTTTAGTTTTCTTCTTGGGATCTAGACCTTGCAGCTGTAAAAACAGTGGAATTGTTTGAGATGTTAAATGCTTATGTTAAAGGTTAAAAAACAAAGTATAGAAAGCTGACAAGGGAATTGGATTAGATGAGCTTCAGAGCAAAATTTCTGAAACTGAAGATGTGGAGCCAATATGTTTAGAGAACATGCAATGAAGGCAAAATTCACTCCAAGAGCATTGGAGTTCGTCTTTTCCAGTAAGCACAACTAGATGAGATTGGTATGTGCTTGTTCATGTGACCACAGATCTTTTGTATACCATGCTGGGGCATGAGTGTTGGACTCGGCAAACATTTCCCTTCCCTTGAGAGAGAGCGTGTTGAAGAATAACATCAAGCTGAACAATGGAGTTGTTTTGCATTTGCCTGAAGGGTAGCAACTAGCAGAAGGTAAAATGTTTCTTTATTAGGAGAGCTAAAGAGAGCACTCAGCCTCTGATTCGCCTGGCCTTTTGTGTATATTCTAAAAGCGTTAATAATTTCTATAGTTTTGGCCAGAGATTTGTGACGTGAGACTTGCATGTCAGTGTAACAGCCATGGAGAAAAGGTGAGCCAGAAACACTGTGCTCTGGCTTCAAGTCAAAGAAGTCATGACATTTTACAGTGAGCAAGAACACTTGATCCCTGCTGCTTGCTCTGTACCACCTAGTCCACTTGCTTGAACGACACCCATAGGTTGAGGATACGAACATTGCTCTGCTGCAGCAAGCTTCTAAGTTCTAGAAAAATCCTCTTGCAGAAAACAGTTTTGTTCAACAGGGCAAGCTGAGGGAACAAAGAAAATCTGCTTCTCTGAAGACAGGGATTTTCCATTCTAAAGAATCATAATTCAGGCTACGTGTGATTTTCCTGCCTTCTTTTTTTCAGTCAACCTGGCTGCTGCATCAAAACTGAGAATGAATGCTGAGGAGTTGAACAGGAAGCGTAACAGGCAGTTCACTTTCTGCATTTCTAATGTCCAAATCCCTTGACAATACAAGGCCTATTTCCCAAGACCTTAACAGCTGTGATGGTGCAACTGAATCCCTGGGAAATCAGGCTTATAGCACTGATTTGTAAAAGTCAGAGCAGAGGAAGCAGCTGGTATTTCACAGAGCTACAGCAGCTAGGAGAGACCTGCGGTGGCCTAAATGGGATGAGCCCATGGGCTTAAATCCACATAAGCTAGAGTGGCAGTGGGGCTGAGAAAGTAGTAATTTTGACTGAAGGAGAGGGACAGGATCAGAAGTTTCTGTGAAGTAAGGTAGCCTGTGGCCACGTAAGAAGTGGGAAGTATGCTGACTGTTCCTGGAGGGGATTGCTGACAGTCTTTGGTAACAGGAGAATGCCCAGGCTGGCACTGCTGGCAACACAGGATGAATAATGGCATAGTCCAGTATTCC